TCATACTCCATTGCACTTTATTCCACACCCCAAACCTTCAATTAAACAAAAAAACGAAATAAATTACAGGTTGCAATAAAATTATACCATTTTATGGTGTATTTTACGTATAGTTGTTTTGTTGTTGTTGTTTGTTGTTTTTATTTTGTAAGAATATTCAACATTGCTGTCAATACATTTTTCCAAAAAAATGTCTCTCTATGCAAAATGGGTTTAAAAACATAAACAACTGTGGGATACTGTTTGTCTGTGATTTGGACAGCCCAGCTTCTGCTCCCGACGCAGGGGAAATAAATTCTGTCGGGGATACCGACCTTGGCACCGCCGTTGTGCAGGTGAAGCCAAAGGCAAGATATGCGTCATCATGTTCTCTAGCCTTTGGCTTGGAAGGAAGCTGGTTTGGAAGCATATTTGGCGATACATCATCCCGTACTTTGCTTTTGGGAGCCCAGTCAAAAACCTGTACATTATGGTAGAAGTGTCCAAGCATTCTTTTTTTTTTGATTCACACTGCCCCCCTGCAGTTGCTCTGCCCCCTCCACTTTGGGAACCACTGGGTTCGATAAATGCTCTTACAGCCTTTGTTATTATTCCCACACAGTTTTGTGTGATGTGAAAACAACTACAGCACACTCACAGCGGATGTTAGTCCGCTCAACAATTTCGTGTTTCGAGTTTGGTGTTCAACACATCAGACACACCTGTGCCTGCAGCTGTTTCAGACTACTGCGATGACGTCATGTTACGTTGCACATGCGGCTGTCACACGGCACGTCAAACTGTATAGCACCAGTTAACGTGGGTGTGTTTCCTAAATTAGCAACAGGTGTTTAACAGCTGACGGAGTGAACAGATGTGTACAGGTAAAGTCGAGGCACAACGCCTTTTGTTATGTTTTAATTTAAATAGTTTTATTGTTGTCTGAAGGTAATATTGATACTACGGTCAGATGAAGCCTCGAAGCTTTCCATCCAATTGGATAAAACAAAAGGTTTATTTCTTGAGACTTCATGTTCACACAATTCTAACTACCTTGCCTCTCTTTGTTACCATCCAAATACACTTCTCCAATGTCCAAATCACATTCCATTGTCATTGCTGTAGATCCTAGTGGTGTGGATCAGTTATTTTATGTCTCGTTCACTCCTGGAATACAGCTTGCTGTCATTCATGTAGAGGATTTGCTGATGATTTCGCCTTTCTGTTGGTTTCCCTAGCCAGTCTTGTCAATGATCTCACTGAGGGGGTTCAGGCCTATGTGGAACAGCAGTGCGGACAGACCACCTCTTTGTTAAATTAATTGGTTTGAAGTTGGACTGTTGTTCACCACAACGCCATCAAATTTCTGATGAAGCCGCTTAGGATCCTGTTAATCTTGTATAGTTCAAGGCATTCCAGGATCCAGGTGTGGGGCATTGAGTCATAGGATTTCTGTAGTCAATCCAGGTGATGCACAAGTTGGTGAGCCTGATCTTGCAGTCTCCGGTTACTGTGCTTTCTACCAGTAGCTGGTGTTTCTGCCAATTCCTTTCCATGCCCTGCTCAAGTATTGAGCCATATGCCTGTTCATCTTAGCCGCTATGATGCCAGACAGGAGCTTCCATATGGTACTGAGGCAGGTCATTGACCGGTAGTTGGATGGGACCAGTCCCTTATGGGGATCTTTAGGAATCAGGACTGTCCGGCCTTCAGTGAGCCATTTTGGATGTGTCACATCTACTGCTGGTTTATTTGTGCGACCAGACACTCACAGAGTGCAGCCAGTAGGCGTGAATCATGTTCAGTCCTGGTGCTGTCCAACTCTTCATACTGGAGACCTCTTCTTGTATGTCTGCCACAGTGATTGTTACTGGATCCTGTTCAAGGAGGGAGGCTGCTGTGCAGAAGAACACTAAACATGATTTTACCATTAGATCCTGACCTCAAGCGTAACAACTAGGGCCCAGGGTAGATTTTTTTGGGACCTTAGTGTCACATTGTACAATGAACCCGATCTGAGGTCTAACTTTATTCCTCCTGCCTGGCAGGATTCCTTTTCTCTCTCACTGTCTCCTAACATGCCTTCCCTCTTTCTTCTGTGTCCTTATTTGTCTTTGGCCAACTGTAGCAGTTTCCACAGAAACCCTACTGGCCAACAGCACCAGAGGTGATTGTTGTTAACCCGGGCCTTAAACGATCCGGTATGGAAATCTCATTCTTTATGAGCTGCATTTTTTGATTTGGCCAAGATTTTAGACTCTTCCTGACACAACCATCTCCAATTATCTGGGCTTGGGACTGGTACTAAAAGTACACTGGTTTGTGGAAGCCCCCATGGCTGGGTTGTGCACTTGAAAGAAAAAAGAAAAAAAAAGTAGCATATAGTAAAAATCAGTATGTAGCATCAATACACCTTCTGATTAACATCATGGACTGCAATCAGAATACATGGTGGTATTTTCATCCTGCTCTCAGGAAATGGAATTATCTAAGGTTGTGATATAAACTCACCCAGATTTTGTCATGGGACTGTACTGAACTGATCTCAGGCGCAGAAACCCAGAGCAGAGACAGCAGATGATTTAACAATATTTTATTAGGCTTAAGCACTAGAAACATAGCAAGGACAAAAAGAAACAATAAGACAGAGTTTGACGTGGCATGGCCTGGGAAACGTGGCTAGGGTGAGGGAACGGGGCCTAAGATGCAGAATGGATATGAGCAGGGAACTGTCACATTGCAGTAGGGGACACAGAGTGTTGAGATGGGAGTGACGAGAATCCAGGGGAGCCGAGTGGCGTGGCGAGGCTGACCTGAGATCCAGGGTCTTCAGATGGAGTGTGGTGGCAGGAGGGCAACCAGGTGAGGCACAGAGTGATTTTCAAAATGATTGCTTGGTATCCTGAGTCCAGAGGTAAAGCGCGAGCCAAAATGAATCCAGCAAATGGGTTGATGACAAACGGGCAGTGAATGAACATCAACATGTGGCTTAAATCCCTCTGGCTTGATTGCCTGCAATTGGCTCCAGGTGTGCAGGAGCTGGACTTGGTGGTGGCCCTGCCCAGGGGCGGATCCCAGATAGGTTCAGGAGCCTTATGGAAATTCCAGCCACCCACAGCAGACTATGACAGATTTATCTTTCCTAAAGTAACATAAAGACAACTCATGTCTGAAACCATGGAACAAAAGGGACCACCCTATTAACCACAAGTCTTCATAAACTATCGAGACACTCAAATTACAGTATGAATGCAAGACTGATTGAAGTGGTTGTTATGCTGTAATGTGGAAAACGCTAACACAGTAACAGTATTTGGTCATGCTGCTGTCACTGATGCCTCAAACACATTTGACAGCTTCTAAATTAACCTTACAAAAATTTTACCCTATTATTGTGGGTTATGATGGTAAGCAGTGCACTGTATCAAAAGTAAATCCTATTACATCATGAAAAGAAAAGAAAAACAACTCAAATAAAGTAACAAAAACATGTTTATTATCAGCAGGGTGTATAAAACCGTTCATTGTGAAAAGTAAATCCACAAAGTTTATGGTCTGATATGGAGGATGAGCATATATTACACCTGTCATTATGAGAAACCATCAAATCACTCCAGCAGAGAGACCTCATGGAAGTATGCTCCCAGCAGCTTGACTCCCTGAATGTAGTTTGATCTGAAAATGGAGAAATAAACCCATGATAATAGTTTGTAATTAAAAAACTCACTTTACCTGTGATCACATTTTAGCACAGAAATAATCTGGAGATGACAAACATGATCCTCTTCTTTTACTGCAATATTTCATCCATTTTATCAATAGTTCCTACTTGTTCCACATTTCAAAAGAAGTGAAACGGTGTGAGCTGTGACCAACCTGTTGATCTTTTCATTCTGAGAGTGAGCTCCATCATCAGAGGACCCTATAGGAAGCAGCATGACATTACGGCCTGTGGCCTCCTGGAAGGTCAGGGTGACTGGGATGCTGCCGCCCTCGCGAGTCAGATCAGGCTCGACCCCGAAGACTACAGCACAACGAGGAGGAAAAGAAAACAAAAGCAGTAAAAATGTAATAATGACAATAATAATAACATCCTAGCTGTCCCTGCATAGGTACAACAAATCTGGGCACAAACCTATCAGTGAAAATATCTGAAAAAGGCTTAAAAATATGTCCACAAAAATATGCATAAAAAAATGTCCCTGTACCTGTCTTTATGGCCTTTCTCCCTGCCATGTAGTGTGGGTGGTTGAAGTCTGAGACCCAGGCTTTGGCACCGCTGTCCCCTGTCACTTTCAGTTTATTGGGGGTTCCCAGTTCAGCAAACCTCTTCTGCAGATGATCGATGACCTTGAAGAGGGAAAAATAACTTAGACTTGTTGAAGCTTTAATGTAGAAATAAATTGAAGTTGATCTTTAGCTATTTCCAAGTCCAGGCTGAGATTCATTTAGTAAAACCTAACAAAACCTCCTTGTTACGCAATCATTTGTGACAAAATCACTATGTCTTGTCTGCTTGATTGGTTTACCTGGTTTTCTGCAGATGTATTTTAATGCCGTAACCTGGGACTTTGTTTTTTTCTCTGAATAAAATCATCTGCATTCACTTTATCTTACAAAAATAAGGATGGCTGAGCAAATCATCTGAGCAACAAACTACCAATAAGTGGCAGAGATACAGAGTGACTTCTGCTACTTAATTATAAAACGATGATTTAAGTTAAGTGAGTGTTATATGCGATCACTGTGACCTATAACATTGTTTACCTGCTTCTTCACAACTTTGGGGTCCATGTCAGGCACAAGGCGGATGGAAAACTTGCCGATGACCTTGCGAGGAATAACCGTCTTGGCTCCTGCTTCAGAGAAAGCCCCCTCAATACCATGAAGGGAAAGAGAAGGATATCTCCAGCGGTGCATGAGGATTTGCTCCTATGGTGGAAGAAATAATGAACAATAGGTTCAAAAAGTGTGGATGACCCCACATTATACAGCACATTTCCACCAATGAGTGATGTGAACAACATATATAGTTTCTTTGCCTTTGTGTCATGCAGCAGCTGTTCAACCCCGCCATCTTTACAGTACTCATCCAAGTCAAAGTCGATCTTCTCGTACAGCTTTTGCTCCTCTGCTGTCAGAGGCGCCACACTGTCATAGATCCCAGGAACCAAAATCTTACCCCTTTTGTCAACCAGGGAGCCTGTGCAGGAAGTCACAAACACATGATTAAAACTCTAAACTGGTGTAAAATAAGGTGTGTGAGACTAAAAATCACAATTATCAGCTTCACTTGCCCATAAGTGCGATGAGGTCAGTCATGGCCTCATGAACAGAGCCACCAAACACCCCTGAGTG